CACGAAGAATTGAGGCAGTTCTGAAGGCAAAAGGGGGTCCAACCCGTTACTAGCGTGGTGTACCTAATAAAGTGGCCGGTGAGTGTACATATATATATATATATTTCCACCTTTTGACCTCTTTTCCTCAGCCATTCGTATCTCCCCGATGTGAAAAATAAAAACGTTTGTAGGTTAGACACAATCAGAGTTGAACTGCCAGATTTAAAACGGCTGTATTCTGCAGAACGCCGACTCTGACAAATATAATAAGCACTGTTGGAAATTGTTCGGCATGTTTTGATTATAACAGCATGTTCTGCTCTCCAGCTTTAAATAGAACCATCTATACTGGCAGTGGGAAGCGTAGACTGGACAGTGTGTGTAGTGGTTGGTTGAAATAATCAGTTAGATGCAGGATTTCTATCGGCCCGAGTTGAATAATGATGCATCTTGTGTTTTCATTAACACCCCATATAACACAAACTGCTACATAACGAGATGTGAAACAGTTAAGCAATGTGCTCTGTGATACATAATTCTTCTATTTTTTTCCCCCCACAATAATATTTTGGTCTGTATGTTTCCAGGGAAATTGAACTTGTAGGTTTAAATGTTAAGTTTGCAGGCTGACTGGGAGAAAATCTCACACAATGAGATGTCACCCCTCTAATCTGACTGACTGACTGCTGTTTCTTTTTTTTATAACAGGCAGCCAAACTCCCCATGTCCATCATCATAGTTGGAGTTGGCCAAGCTGAGTTCGATGGTGAGGATATTAAAGGGTTTGTTGTTGGGAAAAACAATGAAACAAGTCTATTTTCTCATTGTTTTCAACATGTTATTTTTAAACCAATTTTTTTTWAAAAGAACATCAGTTCACAATATGAACATACTGTATGTTTGACCTCATTAGAATCTTAAAAAAAAAACAGCTGGATACCACTGGGATTGTTTATCATAAAGACACTTTCTCTCTTTAGCCATGGTTGAGCTGGATGGTGATGACGTCAGAATCTCCTCCCGAGGAAAACTGGCAGAAAGAGACATTGTACAGGTAAAACATTTCTAATATTCAATATTTATTAGACACAAGGGAAGAAAATATCATTTCTTTCCATTCTGTGAGCAAAGCTTTACATGTTAAATCAAAACCCTGAGTGTAATGTCATGAGGCTTTCTTTTCCCTGACAGTCTGTGCTAAACATAACAGCTTGAGGTGAAAGAAATGAGATTTCTTCTGCTTAAGCTCTTATTAATAACACAATCTGAATGACTCAGAWTTACATGTAGCAAAATCTCTCTCTTCCCACATTGTCACCTTTGTGCACAAGTGATTTGAAAGTGGAGCAAAGATTTACACTTCATTTACTTTTCAAGTTATTAGACTGTAAAATATTTCAAACTCTTTCTGTTTCTGATTTCCTGTTTTTTTTCTTGTTAAGGATAAAAAAATGGAAAAACACATTTTTTCTTAAACATGAATACTTCTTCATACAGACATTTTGACATCGTCTTTATTTGAATCCTCATTAAGCTAATTTATTTATAGACAAACTTGAAACGAAAATAAATAAATGTACTATACAGTCTGTGTTTGGTCAAATKACTCCACCTCATATAAAAGACACATACAATTACAGTCCATCTAACCAAGTCTTACAATCTTACATCCAGCCAAAAACTATTTTTGATCCTGGTTTGAGATTGACAGATAGGAGCCTGGAAATTTTCCTTATCTCAAAAAGACTTACAAAGTGCAACTGTCTTATTTCAGTCCATAATATACCAATGCATTAAGACAATTGCACTTGGTAAGGAAAGTATTTTCCTTTTTTAAGATTGTGAGACTTGGTTAGATGGACAAGTTTCACAGTATTGTTGGACATTTAATTTCTGCAGAACAGTAAAGAAAATTACGTCCATTGTGGTCGACAAAATATCACTATCTGATTGTAAGAAAGATTCAGCATCGTGCGTGAAGATAAACATGTGAAATCAAGATCTGCAGAACAGGACTGTGTGCAGGATTTCAAAAAGAATGACTCCTTTTCTTCTCATGTCCCAACAGTTCGTGCCGTTCAGAGACTACATGGACCGAACCGGTAACCACGTGCTCAGCATGGCGCGGCTGGCTAAAGACGTTCTGGCTGAGATCCCCGAGCAGCTGATCTCCTACATGAAGAGAAGAGCCATCAAACCCAACCCGGTCCCTCCGGCTTACTCGACGTGTGTCCCCCCTGAGACAGAATCCGTCTGAGTGGCCCTCCCCCTCCTCCACCAGTACAGCTCAGCCTTGAGCGAGTCCAGATCAGCATGAACAGGAAGTGGAAACACTTTCTGTGGCTCTTTTCACAAATCTTACCCTGACAAACAACYGGCTGAGGATGATGATGAGGATGAGACTCTCTGCTGCTGGAGAACCTGTTGATAATCAGGGAGTGTTTTTCGTCTCTGCGATCTTAAGGATGAGAGCGTTGAGATTAGACCGGAGTGAAAGGAGGTTTTAGTCTTTTGCTGTCAAACCTGTCGAAGTGATGATGTAATGGATAAATCCTGCAGAGAGGGGACTGCTTGAAAGCATAAAATATATTAGGACGTGTGTATCATGTTTGTGATATCTTTTGGAGTCAACGTGTGTTAATCTAAGAAATCATATGATACTAATTTTTTTAACGTATTTATTGCAGAAATAATTTTATTCCTTTCAGGGGACTTTAAATGATGGCGGTTGAAGTTGTACAGAAACATACCTTGTAGTTTTCCATCAGATATTTTGTGATGAGCRTAAGAGAACCGATCCCCATTTCTACTTTGATAAAAACTGTAAGATAAACGCATGTGAGAAAACCTTATCCAGCAGTTTAGGAATCATTTTCACATTTGAAGGTTTTTTGACTGCTGTAGTTGTAATATAAAAACAACCATCATAGAGGACTTTTTTCAGAACCACGTCTTATACATACAGTATTTCTAATATTTATATGAACAAAATGCACTAATTACTGTCCAAATAAAAGCACAAAGAGATTTAACGTAATTCAGATGGAAACCCAACCACAATGAAAATAACAAAATCACATAATAGATTAAAAAACAGATTTGGAGTTCATTTAATATACATTATGTTAAATATGCTCAAAACTTAAGAAAAAATAACAAATTTTTTCCATAAAAGCTGTTTGTTTACACGAAAAAAGGAATAATTTAAAGCACAAGTCCACTTTCTCTGTTAGTATGCAAGGATGCAGATTGTTTCTGAGCAAGGCTCATTTGTCWTCTTGCTGTTTGTGTTTCTCGCTGTTACATTTTATTGTGGTTGCACTTCATTATCTAGAATTTCGTTTAAAGCATCCTTCAGAAGTACTTTTAAAACTTTGATGTCAGCTTCYACCTTTTCCCCCTCTGTTAGACGTATTTGTTTTCTCAGAGCGAAGACTGAGGAGTCATGATCTCGTGGGAGAGACTTTTTTTTTCGTTATCTAACAACAACAACAACAACCGGGAGCTCAAACTAAACAGTTATGAGTCATTTTATTTCAGTCTGTGTGTCTGCTGTTGTGATAATTTATACTTTGTCTAATTAATATTACCATGGTTCCTTAGACAGCCAGACTTGTGCAAATGCAGAAAGTTAAAAACACCTCAGTGAAAATCTGTTCTCTCACTTTGGACTCTGTGCTCGCTGTTTTCCAATTTTTAAACTGAAATTATTGTTAAAAATCACAAACACACAAAAAAATGGAGCTTTTTATGTTTAATGCTGACTTRAAAACATGTTTGATTAGACACAGAGTGGGACAGAGATGTCCTGCTCAGTTAGGACTAAAAGCCAATGATTTATAATGATCAGAGTGGTGGATAGCTACATGTAGCTGAGGTCAAACAGGTTTTAGCATCAATCATTCAGAAATGTAACATCTCAAATCCATCCTCAGAAAGTAAACAGTTATCAGTTGAAATGAGGGTGAAGCTTTCTGAGTACTAGAACCTGTCCACTGGTTTATGACATATTTAGCTAACACAACAAATAAACATACAGTCTTGTTAAAATTGTCTTACAGTATTTGCAAAAGAAACCTGTTTGGTACAGATTATTGTCTTTTTGCCTGWAGCAACAACGATGCACCAAAGTCTGTCCATTTTTGAAGGCTCCTTCAGATGCAGCCCCCAAATGAGTCCTTTCCCCCCCAGTTTGAGGGAGGGGTCCTTCTMAGCCCACCCTATCCCAAGATGCACTATAGGTCGACCGGGGATTTTTTTTTTTTTTTTGCAATGGCGTACTGAGCGAGATACAGGTGTGCAGTTTTAAATAGAAGAAGATTGTTAATAACTCATTCATTCAAACCAAGTGTGTCAAATCAGGGAAACATCTAAAACATGCAGGACAGGATTCCTGAGGACCAGGGTTGGGAACCACAGACTTATTTCTTCAAGTATTACCTCTAAGCTMATTTTGTTCATTTATAATATTAATCTATTATTATTATAATTATGCTAATTTTGATCTATTTTCTATCTTCRTTGCTTCTGTTTAGTGTCGTCACAGCTGTTAGGCGACAGGACAYATGCTGGGGTAAGGGTGGGARTAAAGCTGAAGGTTAGACCATCCAAATTCACTGCCATTTTCTTCCAGTTGTTGCAGYTGACAAAGGACCTGGCTCAGGTAAACYGGGTAGGTCGGGTCCTTCGAAAGACCCAGACCCTGAATTTGAAGTTTGAGCTCAACCGTTTAATTTGAAACTCCTACGTTTGTCTCAGAGTCTGCAGCACTCAGACACCAGTGTCCAGCTTTAATCACGTGTTCTAATTGGAAAATAGGTGCAGTTTGTTTGTTTTCATGAGGAAAATAACAAGTATGCAATTTAACACAATTTGTTTAGAAAATCGTTGGTTGGTCCTGAAACTGATGTTTAGCTTTATTAAACCCAAAAACTTCTATTCTTTGTTAAAGCCCAGATTTGCTAATTTGTTAGAAAACAAACAGAGAGAACAGTTCTTCAGCCTCTGTTTTTACTTTTCTCTCAGCACCAGTTAGGCTATCCCAAACTCATTAAGTTACTCCAAGATACACCAGCCCATTTTTAAATTTAAGTTTCTAAAATCCATTTGATCAATTATCTCGTACAACTCAACTTAGTCTTGGTTCAAGACTTCTTTTAGAAACTATGTATTAAATTTTGTACACTCTAATTTACCTTAACTTATTATTTTCCTGCTCACTCTCTCCAGTCACTTGATATCTTGATCCAAATGTGCCTAATGTATGGAGACATATCCAAATTCAGTCACCCAGGTGTTGTCTGCGCAGCAGCAGCAGCAGCAGCAGCAGCAGCAGCAGCAGCAGCAGCAGCAGCAGCAGCTCACATGTCTCACATCCACACCCAGAAAATGTTGCAGATGGTAAAACTGTCACACAGTTGCAGACAAGTGTTGTGTACGTTTTATACTCACAGCTCTTCACTGATGATGTTTGAATTAATCAAATTTGTCCGAGCTTTGTTGTACAGTATTTAAAGCCAAGACTTGTTTACAATGAAACTGTGTTCGTGTCACATTTAGAACAAAGTAAAAACTCACAGGTTTTCATTGGTTGTTTCATTGAATGAACCAGCATTTATACAGATATTGTCGTGCCACAACAGAATGTGGTTCTCTCTTTTATTTTATGTTTTGTTTTGAGTTTCGAGCAAAGCAAAGTTTATGTAACAGAGTTTCTTAGCTGTTCTTTAACTCCCGCTGCTCTGAGTGCTCTCATCGAGCTGAAAGAGTCCATTTCTGCAGGAAGTCAGTCCAGAGGCACCAAACTCTGTGTCACAGTTCACAACCTTATTTAGTCTTTCCTTTCCTTTCCTTTTCTTTCCTTTCCTTTCCTTTCCTTTCCTTTCCTTTCCTTTCCTTTCCTTTCCTTTCCTTTTCCTTTACTTTCTGCTCATTTCCAGCAGTGATCACCCTCTTCACGATGAAGCAGAATTTGGTTCTCTACCAAAGTCAGGTTTAATTGCACAACACTCAGAATAGGAAGCAATTCAGTCCCAAACCAAACAATACATTCATTGTAAGGTAATATATTCACAAGGAACAACATCTTACTGTAAATCTTAACTCAAACATCAGATTTTAAAATTTAACAACTAAACACGCAACTGTTGAAAGTTTGAAARTGAAACAGACCTTTTGTTGTCTGTTATAATGCGGTAATTAGAAAAAAAAATAGAACATGAAACATTAAAATTAGCACCAATATGCAGCTCGAGGTGTGTGAGACAATAAACATCTAAAAGAAGAATTGAAAGCATTAAATGTGAAGCGGGGGTGCTGCACATTCCAACTGCATTTTATATATTTGTTCAGACACTAAAGGATTTGAAACTGTATTAAATGTCTTTTTATGAGCAGTTTGTTTAAAATTAGAACAAAAAAAATACTTTTTTGGTTTGTTTTTGGAAAACCATCACTCTTATGCAATTGTGAACTTAGCAACAGAATGGTTTATTTTGTTTTAAATGTTTGTTCCTTTCTTGTTTTTTGAAGGCTGAACTCTAAATATGTACATAAACCCTGTATGAAGATTATCCAGTGCCGACGTGTTCAGTTGTTGACCTTTAGCCTTTAGACGATGTGCATGTTTGTGCCAAAGTGGCAGGAATTCTGTTTTGGTGGTTTACCTTCATTTCACCTAAATAATGCATAAAACACATAAAACACACGTTTTCTTTGTGACACGAGACGTTATTTGGAAACAATGGTCTCTTCTAGCATGTTGCATCTCTACTTTTCTTCCATTCTGTTTTCTAAAGAAGATCCAAACGAGCTGTATGGGTTCTTGTTGCCACTGCTCCTGTTTAACCCAGGTTGTTTACATACCTCTCTCGGTCTTTCTGACTTGCATGCTGAATTATTTCCAAACCAAGTGTTGGACACAGAAATTGTCGTCATGCTGTGGTTTGTGAAATGCTTTGTAATGGATTGCCTTAACTGAAGATTAATAAATATTGACAACTTTGGCTGAATGCAGAGTGAGTTTATATCATCACTATCCTAATAACTTTTAACTTATCAAAGTAAACCTATAAACAGATGCTCTAATATTTCATCTGCAATGTGGCTTTCGCATTAGAACTTATGTTCTTTATCTCCGTCGACTCATTAAGCTGATATTAGACCGTTTAGCCGTCATCCCTGTTTGCTTCTGACTAGACAACATAATTGGGCCAGGCTGTGGATGCATTAATAACAGAGTCCAGTCTGGCATAATGAAATCACGTTATTTTTGCATGTTCTTCAGCTTATGTAACCAGAAAAAATAGGACACTTAATGTGTTTTGTTTACCATGCATCAAGAAAAATAAAAAATAAATAAAACACTGAGCTGCAACTCCTTTAGAAATCTGTCAGGATCTTAAATGTTTGTCTTTCTGAGTACAGAGCAGCAGGGAGGAGGCTTGCAGTTCATCTCTTGTTTATGAAGCAGTGAGAAGCAACACGATAATGAGGTGAAGTTCTTGATGTTTATTTTAAACAGGATCATAGACACCAAAGAAGTAACGGCTTGAGGACTCAGGTACAGAATAATTATAACAAGTCAGAACAATAACAGCAGCTGAACCAAAAGAAAACAGGAGTTAGAAAAACATGGAGAGGTGGAGATTTATGACAAAGATAGCGGACAGGAAGACTGGCAAAGGGAGGGATCCTACAAAATAAAACAGCAAAATGAATTAAAAGACAAAATTCAAAACCAACTTACACATGAAATCAGAATCAGGGACATGCTGCAACTATGAGTTACTGATTCCAAAATAGACAACAAAATCATCAGTCAAATAAAACATGAAAGAGTAAAAATAAAACAAGAATGTAATATAATTTGTGACCATGATGGGAAAAATTCCAGAAGTTGAATTTGCATTAAAAATGATCATTCCATTAGAAAAATCTTGCCTTTTACAAACTACTAACTC